TTTCATCTATGAAATTATATTTAGACATATGCTGTTTTGATAAGACACCAAGTTGTATTTCGTTTTAAATAATTACTGTGATTAATCATACATCAACCGTATTCATTTTTAAATTAACTATGCAATTATGTATAAGCTCTCACAAAATATTCATTGTGAGGATGAAGTTTCACGTTTTGTATATAATACAGGAATTGTAAAATCATTCTTTCCTGAAACCTTTCACTTTTCTTTTATTTAAGATTATATAAAATATCTTGAAATGCCACAATTTTTATCATTGATTGATAGACGTCACTGATATTAAATTCTCCTCGATTACTTGTTCAGAGTAATTCATATTTAAATGCAATAATCAAAATACAACTGTCAATTAAAATTCAAATCCTTTGAAAGATTGCACATATCTATGAATAAATCGTGAAATTGGAATAATATGAATTTCAAATGTTATAGTTTACAAATTCATATTTTACAAAATCCATATTTAACTGCTGAAGTAAAAAGAAAAAATGCAGGGTTTTTTTAAACTCTTGTTTCAATAAAAAGGGAAGTAGGAAATGAAAGTTATTAAACTTAATTAAAATTGCCATACCTGTTACGAAATTTTGAATTATAAAAGTTTATGTACATTTAATAGTGATTGAGATGTTGATGACAGACAAGATACCCGAACACAGCTGACATCTATTTTTAGTAGGACAACACATTTTATTATCATTCGTATATCAAATTAATGTTGATTAACTTCAGAAAATAATTTATTATTTTAATTTAATGAAAAAAGAGTTATATACAAAAATCATATTGATGGCGAACGTTTATCGCTTTCTTAGTAAATACTACAGCCGCGAAATCTATATCAAATATTGACAAAACTTTCGTTAGAACGAAGTGTGTCAGCCATTGTAGACTGATGTAAACAATAAATAACATCGCATCGCTTTAGACGGTGTGCAACAATCATTCATCATTGCCAAGTCAGCAGCTAATGTCGGGGACAGGAACAACAAGCGCAACAACAGAATCTACAGACACGGTCATAAGGAACACACAGGTGTGTTTGTGTCGCGAAGAAGCGCCTTTCTTCATAGTTAGCTAGATCTTTACATGAAATGTCCGGATGTTAGCTCAAAGAGTTGCATATGCTTTTCTAGTAAAAATTCTTCGCATCAATCCAGATATATACTATTTTGAAATAAGATACTGCATATAACTCGTATTTCCTTGAAATATACATCATTGGTAAGTATCAGAAATTGGTTTCATAGCAATTCCTAGTATTCCTTTCAGTCAACAATCGATCATAACAATAATCTATTTTTAGCGGAGCGGTAAACTTTACACTGGCAAAAATAATACAAAATAATTGCTTAATCACGAATATGTATTCAGCATATAAAATATTCAGTAGATGATGATATTTTTTCAGGGCTGGAAAGAAAGTTAAAAGAAGACAAAAGCAACAATGATGGCGTACCGAACTCAGTGAGCAATACATTGGTTTGAAAAGAAATAATATCTGAAAACGAAACTCATAATGAATTTTTACAGTTGGATGTCGATGAGGTTTAGTTTCGAAAAAGCTTTCCAGCTGGATATAGTTTGATATTGACAGAATGCTATCGGAATGTACAATTTGGATTCTGAAGAACAAGGATGCTGTTTTCTTACAAAATTGCATCCTCATCAAAATTATCGAACAGTATGGTATCGTTATAATAACTGATCAATACACGTAGCATTACGTACGTGTTATTATGTCATCTTGTATTTCTAGAATTTCCAAGATCGTGGATTTAGAAATATCGATAAACATTGATAACGTTATATGCTGGAAATCCCAGCATGTTTTTATCGATGTAAACAAGGTATAAATTCCTCTTCGAAAACTGTTTTTCCATATGATATTGAGATGTTATTCAGATAAGTGTTTCTTTATACAATGATATTATCTTACCTTTTTTCTGATATGTCTATTTCTATTTAGAGCTGTATTGAAGCAGTTATGATTAAACAGTCCTTATTCTTTGGCAATAGAATTCTGATGTTTCTAGGTTCCGTCATGAATTTCACGGTTGCTCCGTTATATGCCGGTATATATTTGTACAAGCCTTTCTTACGAAATTAACACCCATTAAGATATAAGACGTATTTTGGAGGAAGATCAGAAAAGTATATTGACCCAAGATTTCTTTTCAAAATACTAGCATTTCTTTTCATGGGGAAAAAACCCAAGAAATGAACAGAATCTAATTCTCAAATCAAATTCAATAAAATTAGGGCAAACTATTATTAAAAGAAAGATTTACACGGAGACTCCTGAAAATGGACAAATCAAATGTTTGTATGTAAATATTTTTTTTGCTTAACTAAATGTTTTTTAAAAACTTTGGTTTAGCTATACCAGTCTAACTATTTGAATGGTCAGAACGATATATGTTTCCTGAGGCGTTAGATATCCAATTGTTTAATAAATCACTTTTTATATAACTTACTCTATTTACATATATTGATATCTACATTATCTTTTATATTGCAATATTTTATATATATTTTTTTTGGCAAGACATTGTTACAGAAGTAAGTTTTCTTTAAGATTGTTCCATTTGCTATATTGAAATATTTATAAGGATATATTTATGTAGAAATGAGCTTCTGTTTTATAAAATTGTCACGCTGTTCGATTTACCAGCTTACTTAGGTAAAATTCATGTAAATTAAAATATAGCACGCGTCGGTATTTATTAGTTATAATTGTGATATTTCAAAACAAATTCCAGCACATGATATATATATGTATATATCTTTTATCTACATGCGCTACCTACATTTAAAATGTTTTTATCATATACATGTGTTTTAATATTCTAAATGCATTCCCTATATTTTAAAACATTTACCGTAAATTTACAGCGTATCAAATATCACATTTCTTCATAACACGCGCGTAGTTGGCTAACGGTCGAACAAAGAAGGCCATGGAGGATGAAGAAACGAGCAATTGGCAGCAAAGGTCATTGTAATGACGTACTCTATAAGTTCAAGAAAGAAATAAAAATTCTTACAACGCCATACGCCTAGAATGTTCAAACAGAACACAGTCGCATGTCACCCTTAATTACTGTCGCCATTTTCGAACGTGGCAAGAAAATCAATTTATTCTCATTGTTACTTGAAAGATATGCCAAAACTTTTTCGACATTCTTTGGCTTAAAAACCATGAAATATTTTAACCATTTTTAATTGTTATAATTAGTACCGGAGGGAGATTTTACGGAATGTAGAGCTAGTGTACTACGTTACGATGAATAATAACAGATGAAGTACTCTAAATTCTTCTTTTATTGTTGTCTGAACCAGGGTTTGAGGTTACGTTTGTAATTTTATTAGACAAAGGGTTTTATTTCGGTTTTGTATATTACACAGCAGAACAGATATATCATAGAAAATGTCTAATTCAAATTAATTATAAATGAACACCATTGAAAAACACCTGTCAATACGGATGTGTAGATTTCATATGTACCACAAGCTTAATAAAATATTGTATCATACAACTAGGTTGTCTGCTATGAATGTTAGTGCAGAGAAGTTTGGAAATCCGAAACAGAAATTGAAATATAAAAAAAACCTGCTATTAACTATGAAATACTTAAGATTCAGAGGAACACTCTGCCTTTCATTGAGTAATTGAGTAAATACTGAGTGGTTGAATCCACACCAAATGTTTCTGTATATCGATGCACCTTTCATAAGAACGTTTGTCATTCACAACTACGGCAAAGATTGGGACACAATGGCAATGATTACAAGAGTCCAACTTTTGTTTTGATAGAGTATCGCATACCATTACCTTGTGAACTAATTGCCTTCAACGTTTTACCAGTATGCCTATCCTCACTGTCAGAATATACAATTTCTTCAATCACAATTACTAGATTTTTTAAATTCTAATATTATGAAATGTTCTTTTATTTCATTCTTAAATATTAACTGATCAGTAACGAACGTGATTATTTCATCATGTGTTTGACTCTTTCTCCAAGTCAGACGATCTACAACCCTTCGGCAGATTCAGCCCATCAATCCTTCATTAAAGTCAAAATGTCTGGGCGAAATCGTCGTATAATGTCTACATATCTGAGGGTTTTACCAAAGATAGACCTATCCATCAAATCTTTCAAATATCAATACACATGCACACGTCTAAAATAATATCATTCCGCGGTATTGCTTGAATTGAGCAGCATGCAATAAGAAGGAAACTAACAGGACCAGTTAGACCGTAAAGAAACTCGTTGTCCTTTTAGATACTTCATCTATTCTTCCTTTTTCATCATCTCCAAAAACGAATATTTTAATTTTATACGTTTAATGAGAAAATATTTGACTTTCTTTAGAGTTTGGTCACAAATAAGAGTAAGGAATTACCAGCTCAGTGTTAGTTTGTGTTTCACGGATCAACATAACTCCTCTCCTTATATTTGACTATACCTTTATACCGTTTGTATGAAAAGAAAACAGAAATGCCGTAAAATAATTTGACACATCGTCTAATATTTATTTAAACAAATACTAAGACGGACAAACATACATACTGGGAATGACCAACATTGTGGTGTATCCGCCAGTAATTAAATGTGGTGCATATTGACAACACAATATACGTAACCACCGACAGTTTAGGTTTATTGCACTAAGTCTTGGAATCATGAAAATAAATGGTACAACTACACACGTTGTAGGTAGAGTATGGGAACAATTTTAAAATGTAATTTTAAAAACACACTAATAACGTATTACACTTTCACCAAACCATATTATCATTTGGAATTAACTTTAAAATATTGACATATTTTAGAAAGGTTTTCGACTATATCAATCAAATAAATCTTTTCAAAAAATGGAAATAAGGAAACAACAAGAGCATTATATTGTCACCAGATTCGACCAGCAGAGGTACGGGTTAGCACTTGACCAGCAAGGGTCAGCACTGGTCAGTGGCTATGATGAGAGTGCACTGATATGTTATCGTCCGATTCTTCATCGTCGCCATAATGACTTCTATCATCACCATGATACCTTGAAGCGTCAATCTCGTTAGCACTATGGCTATCATCGACGTCAACGTCGTTTTTATTTTCTTCATTATTTACACACACACTAGCACATCCGGGGCTATACACGGAAATGTCCGAACAATCTTCGTCATCGTCCGATGCGTGAGGTCGTTGTTCTACTATAAAACCAACAGGTTGTGTGATTGGATAAAGTGGCATCATGCCAAGTCCGAGAGCGTTCACAGATTTACTTGCTTGTACACGAGGATACTTTGAGTTGGGACGACGACCACGTGGGACTTTAGGTGTTTCTAACAAACTGTCAATACTAAACGAACACTTCCGATCTCCCGATTCTTCATCGGGATTTTCAATGCAAGGTAGTTCATTATTACGATTCTCAGAAGCCGGTGATGCTAACCTATTGTCGTTTTCACAGCAGCTCTCATTCTCAGAGGGACTAGTTTCTGAACCAGAATGTAACATCATATTCGTAACTCCTTTGTTTTCTTGAAGGGATTTACGTTTTTCTTCGAGCTTTCTGAGACGTTCTTCCTGTTTCTTCCTCTTTTTATCCATTCGTTCTTGTTCTCTTTTCTTGATTTCATCTGGATCCATTGGCGCACCACTGGCTGTTTGCGGCTGAGCATTGTGTGCAGGGCGTCCTGGACCTTTTTTGGTATTCTCTTTCTTGCGCCATTTCGCTCGTCTGTTTTGGAACCAAACCTGAAGAAAACAAATATCATGTTAAAATATTCAAGAAATTATCCCATCATCAATCATTACACCAAATGTAAAAAGCATCATGGAAAAGAAAAGAAAATGACAAATAACATTCTTAAACGTCTTTGTTTATTGCAAATAAATGTGTTCTTTTCTATCAAGCGTATCATGTGTACATCAAGGAATTGTTGAATTCTGCAGTCAACTAGAATTACACCCGCAGTCGATAATGCTATAAATAAATTTGTTATTTGTGTTTTCTTCATTGATGTACATAACCTGTTAAGGGCGTGTTTTTAACTACTGGAAACAATACACATAAAAAAAAAACAAAAATTGTTGTGGCTGTATGTTGTGTTCGTTCAGCTGATTCGTCTCCTCGGGGCATCCATTACAAGGCAGCTCATCTCTTTAAAATCTGAATGATTTCAATCATGAAATCAAATTCAATTAAGACTCCTACCCAGGTGAAGAGATTCAAACTACTACGATCAAAAGTGCCAGGATATGACACAGGCTTTGAGATCAGATTTATCGCCACACATGGAGTTACAACTTAACTCGGATTGGCTGGAAATCGAAATACGCGTGGGACATGTATTAATGCATAGGCATGTTCTGTCACTGCGTTTAGTATCAACTTAAATCCTCAAAACATCTTCGACATAAAATTTGAATATTCAAACTATAATTTTCTCAATTTAAACTTAATTTAATGTCTCTATGTAATCTTAATTGATACAGTTTGTTCTATCGATCTTGCTCTAGATTACAACAGATTTCTTTTAAACACCAAAATAACAATACATTTGACATGCTTTGCGTTGTATTTCTTCCCTTTAAAAAGAAAGATACTTTCTAATTTTACAGTCACTTACGTGTTATAATCACAAATTATTTTTTTTAAAATAACAACTTTTAAGACATTTCACTTATGCGAGTGTTTGTATAGTCACATTACGGATTTTTCATTTTGTATACACTCATTCCCATTCAGTTGCATACAATTACTTATCTGATATATTACTTCCCTTTGGGGCAATTTAAAATTTTCTTTAGCAGCAATCTTGGGTTCCCTTTTCAAATATGAAATGTCAATTTACACTTAAAAAGCGCAGTCTTAATTCCCTTTCACGTACATAGGGATTGAATTGCGATAACATAATGATATCAAATGCATAAAATTGCGACATTATTCAAGCATGCGATGGTGATGGGTATTTTATTGACAAAGTAACTAATATCTCATTTAATCACTTAAATTAGTTATTGTACTTTTACATTTGATGGGAAAGAAATGTTAGTCTTGATGCTTGGGATAATATCATCACTGAAAAGCCCCACGTGACATCTTAACCATGTCAATATCCTTAATGGGGAGAAACATACAACACGGTGTTCATTTCACCCATTCATCGGTCAGAATTAACACTCTAATGTCAACAATTACTCGTGAACGCGATTTAGATCGTTTACAAAACATGACGGAAAAAATCAAGATTCTAGACAAAATTACCCTTAATGTATTTTAGCTATAAATGAGCGTCCGCATTTCTGGCTGAAGGATACAGCTAATAAATCGAAGTGATTACATTTCTATGAATTAATTATTCCGTAGTCTGGTTTAATATCAATTAGCAATTTCTGTATATAAAGTTAACAAACCAGTTTTTCATCGTGGCAGATGTCGTTTAGGTAAAAGGTTAAACAAAGTGGTAAAAATCAGTTCTTAACATTCCCATCAATTATAAATTGGCGGCAATCAATCTCTTCGTTAATTATATTGAATAATTGATATTTCTATTTAGTTTACTTTTTGTTTTCAGTACTAAATAAGACTATCAAACCCTGTAATTGTTAAATACTGATGCAGTTCATAGCTGACAAAAGCTGTCAGGAAAAGGCGATAGTACTGTGTTAATATTTTATCAGACTTTTAAAGAAAAGGACGTTTAATTGATGTGCAGTTGGAATGGATAGCTTTGTGTCCTTCATTAAACATTCAGATAGACTCTAAGACAAAATCATAGGCGGAAAGCACATCCTCAGGCAACAGCCGGTAAACACAGTATCATTTCATGTTATTTTAAACGACAGCGAAACAACCTCGGTGTATGTGTGTGGCAATGTATTTGGTTCAGTGAGTATAGTTTTTTTTATCATATAATATTTATAGAAACAAACACTATGTATCTTTGTCATTCATTGTTTATTGTTTATATACAATTATATCTGGTTATTAGAATTGTGTATCTGTCAGGTTATATAAGTAAAATTATAAATACATTCCAAACAATAGTTAATTAGAAATTTGAAATTATCATATTTTCATTTTGTTCTAGACAAATAATCTTATCTGGTAAACATGTGATAATTACATTTTTTATTCAGTTTTTTTTTTTTTTTTTTTTTCATTTATTTAAAATATTATTTAACAACTGCTAAAATATAGACCCTTAAATTCCTCTCCGTTTACAGACTACCTGTGCACTTCCGATTTACCATCCCTTTTGTCTTTTACAATTGTCATTCCAATATTGTTACACCCGTCGGTGAATATCCTGTCAAATATTTTTTTAAAAGCCGCTAAAATTAAATTTCAAACAAAGACGATCATAACCACCTCGAACCTTACGTATGTTTTAAATATCTTATCTCTATCACCAAGTCTTCAAATTTGTGCAGTTTTTCAATTACCAATGACTCAAGATCATGTGCATATCAATGTACATGTAAGTTAATTGTCTACTGATTAATCAACCAGATTTAATTAAGGCAATCAGTTGCTACAAAAATTGTCGGCTCATTAATTAGACAGGGTTAATGATTTAATCAAGTAACAAAATTTCAGTGCTCTCATTGTTCAAATAATGCTGACATCATCTTAGGGTATTTGTATAATGTCCTTTTTTACATCTTTTTTACGACATAAGATGTTTGGTGAAGAACCATTACGATATCTCCCCAAAGTGCCATATGTTACAGTGTATTCACGTTTTCTTTCAGTAAACATTCATTAACTAAGAAAAGTGAAGAACTGAAAATTATATCTGATAGTCATCGTTACTACTTTAGTTTAAATATTTCTCATTTCGTTTTTGGTTGAACATTGAAATTGTTCTTTTAAGTGTAGAAAATTTCTCAACATTAGTATTTTGATAAAGGATATGAGAATTAAATGATTTTGTCGTATTTTTTTTAGTGTAAATTTGTTTTCAATGACTTCAATGAAGTTATAATATCTTATCTTCAGATGCAATATAAAGTTTTGTGTTTGAACCAAACTTGACCATTAAGTACCTGATACTAAAACCTACAACTAGGCTTTAACATCACCTTTTTATCAGACTGCATTGCTGTGGTCTCTACAACTCACGAAAACATGACAATCCTGAGATTAGTAATTTTATGTCTCATTCTTAATCGTTAGTCATAAAAAATATAATCCAGCAGTTTGCTTAAGAGGTCCAATCAAGCTTCAACGATATTTGATAATGTTGGGATTGCCTACTGCAGATAAGTAGGTGTGGCCTAGTTAAGGTTGATAGATGGTTGAAACACCGCCTAGGATAGCAGGGGGAGAATACAGCAATCACACGTGCACTCAAGTTCACTGGATAAATGAAGATCCTACAGAACTTCACAAACATAACAATAGATTTGTTTGCAAGCATCTTTATAGCTACGCTATATCACACTTATTACAGGAATCAAACCGCTCAGCGTAAGATCGGTTTGTTATCTGAGAAGACGTACCCAATACTTTACCCGAGATATACCTGTTTTAAGCTGGATTCATTTCATGCAGTAAAGTCGGCACGAATTACACTAATTGAATTAAGGGCCTACGTGGACAGATGGAGAGAAACAAAATTATGGGGTTTGTTTGTAAAACGACACAGGTAAAGCCATCGTGCTTTCTCAACTGTATCAGTAAAAATATACCCTTCCTTAAAACGCCACCACAGAATTTCTTTGCTCATTGATAGAGCTAATTATGGGTAGATTTACGACTAGCATGGGCTGTATACTTTAAGAGTTGTTTCCATCAATTTGCTTTAGTAACATTCAACAGTTAATATCGTATTATACGAAGTCTACTTTAATGCCTCGAAAGGAAATAAAGTGAATTGAAGAACAAAATACAGTTGATAATTCTTAAGTAAACTTTGTTAATCAGCATTTTGTCCACAACTGAAAAATAGATTACTTTTAATTTTACTGTGCACATCTGACAATTTGATTAAAAACACAATATATTGTCTACGAAAATACAACTGAGTGCGTTAATCTTTAGATTTTTTAACAAAAAATGATGGCATAACACTAAATCCAGAATTGTTCGTGTTCCAGATCGATTTTCCATCAACTTTTCTTTTTCATGTATAAGAAACTTTACTTACTTTGTATTGATTTTTTAAAAACTTTCCTTAAGTTTTATTTTTCACATACTTTATTATATCATTTTTTTCCGTCTCGTATAAAATTTGACTGCGCTTTTTGATAAAATTTGGCTGGTACCATGCATTTCTGGCAGGATTGATAAAAACTTGACACATAATGTAAACATGACACGGACCGAAAGATTTTTTAAGAATGTATGCATTAAATCTAGTTCTTTCTATTTTTTCTATGTATGAAACCGAACCAAAAAAGTATCTTGTTCCCAATTAACCCAACAAAGGGTAGTTTAGCGAGATTCGACAAAGAGACGGTGGTATATTAGTGCAAACCGTGACGTAAATTTGGCAGGCTTGGTGTTAGTAGCTGTCATTCAGCCTTATCTCAAGGTGGTATGTGAAAGGTTTGTCTTAATGCCTATTCAGCCTACCAAGCGACCTGTATTCAGGGTAACCAGGTCTTGTTTAGTCTTCACGTATCCGACATACATAACCTCCTCCAATCCGCGCCAGATTTCGTTAGACCTCCCACCCCTTATTGTGATAGTTTTTCATATGTGTATGTAAATATGTAAACATTTACCCGTGCAATGTAAATATGCA